ATTATCCTACGAACTATTTTAGACACTTTGTTAAGTATCACGTCACATCTTCCCAGGCAATGCTGAGACTCAGGAAATAAGCTTTTAAATGAAAGAAATGTTATCATTACTGTTTGTACTAACAAATTTCATTACTTGAAATGCGTGAAAATATATTTCATTATCAGCATTTTATTTAAATAACGTTTTCATTTCGTCGCTGATTGTACCTACTTAAAAATCATATTTGATTTAAAAGCTTTTCGCTCGTTGGCCTAAACGCAAATGGGAATATAAAATTGTTTCTACTAATTATGAGAGTAACGAGTAAATTGCGAAAGCTCAGTATTCCAGGACCACTTTGTTCGCTGGAAAATTTCCAACTAAGTACTTCAGAGTGTACTCCGGAGTGTGGTGAAGTGGAGTGGAGAGGAGATAGAGATGGAATACTTATAAGCATTCTTAACAAGAACACTTTTTCATACACGAAAAATTGAAAGTTATTTTTTAAGGTTATCGAGCCGTGAATCGTGTGGGCTTTTTAATCATTTTATTAAGTTTTCCAAGGCCCACAAAAATTATAAGTGTAATTTGGATAAAACATTTGAAGCCTCGTTCTATCTCTATTAACTTCGAACGTGTTGACATAGAAACAGTGATGTTGATAAACTGTATTAAGCTCAGAACAATAACTAAGTATTAAGTTTAAATTTGATTTATGAACGTTGGTGAAAGTGGGCCTCTAAGAATTTGTTATTTAAACTTGAATCATTCAGTAAATTGCTATTCGTTTCGACCCAAATGAAACAGAATGTCCATTTTAAAGCGGTATCTTTTATTAACTTGTCTACGGCTGCTGGCGTTCGTCACGAAAATATATTGCCGGAATTAGAACCATTAGTTTCTCATACAAGGTCAGGGAGTCTATTTTTAAAGTTGACTTTCGATATATCGTAAGCGTCATCGACGTCCATCTTACTCTAACTTACATAGTTTTTGATGTCGTAGAGCAGGACGCGACACTACGAAGTTCACGATAAATCGAATGCTGATTTAAGAGTTCGACTTCAGGCACTCGGCTAATAAGCCCAAACTCTGCTGTCATATAAGTAATTAAAATTAATTAGTCGCTTCATTCGCTTTAAAGTTAAATCAGTTCATTTAATATAACATTTTTGAGCGGGAATGAAAGAAGGTTTTTTTTTATACAAGGATCGTTTTTGGGATTCTGGAATTTCCAACTTATTGATAACATGTTTGTGATCCTTTTGTTAATTAGAACGAAGTTCCTCTTCAAACGGTGTGACAGATGAGTACTAGGCGTAATTTTTTTAAGATTTTAAATTCTAGCAACCTAGTGTGGGTGACCACTAACGGGCGTGGCTGTGGACTTGGTTTCTAGTTTTGTTTGTTCGTTACGCACTGTCGACAGCTCGCCGGCGACTCGGTCTCTCGGCGACCAAAACATAGGCAACTAGGGCCGGAGACCAAGCCGAGCGACAGTATTCCAAGTACATTCGATTTCCACGTCTAGTCGTTACGACAGTAGCTCGTAATTTGATTGTTTCGTGAGTTGGTCGCTTGTGCGTCGCCACTACGCGGTGAGTTGTCGCCCAGGCGACCGACGACCATGTGCGTTAACACCTTAAAAGTTTGATGGAATAGTTGAGATTAGCCCATGACCTAATGGGTAGGCAATACTGTACGCGTATAGGCTATTTTAAACCTATGAATTTAGTATAAATTCAGTATGAAGTGAATTAATATTACAACTAATTCCTTTTATTCGGTGCGATTTTAAAGAAGATCTATTAGGAAAACCTTGGTTAGGTAGGAATCATGAATAAAATAAAAACTGTAGTTTTGCTTCTTTTTTGTTGACTCTTTTTCATATAGTTGTATCATATTTAAAAATATTGTATTTATTTGTATATCACATGTATATTGTGTAAATATGCAGCGTGAATGTGTATCGGGTGTTGTGTTCTTGAATAATTAAGCAGTATGATCCTCTCAGGATGTTGTGGCACAGGTTCACTAGCACTTGGTTATAGGGGCTCTTCTCTTTGGTAACATCGATGGCATATTAGATAGCCAAAATAGTAAAATTTAAGGAAAAACAATCGCAAATGAACACACAACAGGTAATCCGAAACGAGAATGCACTTTCCGGTATAATAAACTACTCTTTGGAATGTACGAATGCCACAGATTACTACGATTGCAAACTGCATGCACCACAACCACAGAGTAACGAGTTTTATGCCGACCCTTCACTTGACAACACTTTGTCCTTGTAATGCTTAATAAGGAATGAAAAGGACAGACTGATGTCATGTTTTAAAATAGCAAATACGTACGAATAGCCAAGTGAAGTGCCGGCATTAGGAAGAAAGAGTGTTTTCTTTGCAGCGCTGTCATAGATTATAAACATAAAATGGTATTTATTGTCTCAGATTATTTTTTAACTTTTTAATTTAGCTTACTTAACTGGAAGTGTCCGTCACAATCTAAATACTGATAATTATCGCAAAAAATATACTAAGAATTATCATAAATGTCAAATTGGTGTTAGTTCTTAGGCCAATTTTAACATTGTCCTTTCGCACGTTCCTTACTCAGTATTCGTATTTCATTTCGTAAATTCGTTCGTCCGAAAATAGTTTGACATTTATATTCTCTAAGCCTACTCTAATTTACAAAACTTAGGAACTAAAACTTGAATTTGACAAACAATTGTTCAAAATTTTAACCTCAAATTAACGAAATAAAAAGTGTTACCTTTTCATTTTCGTTTTGGGATTTTTGTAAAAATTAAACCTAAAATTACTACTAGAGTAAGTATTTTTAATTAAGGCTGCTTAGCGTGAGGACCATTTTTTAGTAAGAAATATTTACAAATAAATCTAATTTTTGTTTATTATTGTATTGCCAACACTTCAAAGTGTTAACACGACAAATTTAGGTTGACATACATTCGATTGCATCAACTCTACAAATTAGTCGGCTAACACTGTCAAAAGAGGTTGTTTTAATGTAATCAAAAATGTTGTCATAAAGTAATATTGTTTTGAAGTAAAAGACAAACATAACACATTCCATTCGTTCACGATAATTGTCTGTGATTCCGAACTTTATGTGCGTGTTCGAAGATGAAATAGAATAGAGTCACTGGCGAAATTTCGTTTAAAATTCCTTCGTTGCCGAAATTTCGTTTCGGAGAAAGAGAGTAGAGCTCCTAGATTTGGCCTATACGAAAATTTGTCACTCTTTTGCCATAAAAAAAACCCAAGTCCTGTATGCGTTTTGATAATATTCGATAACCGTATGCTTTAGAAGGGCTTCTAGCAAACTATTTATCATATACAATACAACAGAAATGGTGTGTAGTATTATTTCAATTGGAATAGATTTTACATAGTATTATAATAAGGTCACGCGCGCTTGTTTCTCAGTGAAATAATTGGAATGCCAGACGGAAAAATGTAATGCCCAACTCCAAAGTAACAGAATGGTATTGCTTTTATTTGCGGGTCGAATTCAATACTTATTTCGCAGTGAAGTCAGTTAAATATATGTCGTGGCCATATCGTAGATTTGCTCACTTCATGAAATGCTCGAGAATTTCATGAAATGGTCACATTTCATGATGTGACCAACTTAATTTGACAGGATCATTAAATCGTCAACATTTAACGATTTGGTCATCCACATTTGGCCGGATCGTATAATTAGGGTGTCTATAAAATATTTATTAAAAATCCAGAATATGTAAGAACTTGTTTATTGTTATGTACCATCATTTTAGGGGGGTTTTGGGCCGTCTCCCACCACGCTGGCCTAGTGCGGGTTGGTGGGACCGATCGTTGTGGAAATCCATGGGGGAGGCCTATGTCCAACAGTGGACGTCTTTCGGCTGAAATGATGATGATGATGTTTATTGTTATTTAAGTCCGAATGACACAAACAAATTTAATCAAATTTTTGTAACAATATAAACAAATTAAAGGATTTTTTTTCCTAAATTAAACATCAAATATGTCAAGAACTTACACATTTATATTTAGAAAACTATCAAATATTTAGAAATAATAAGGTACTTTGATACATATTACAATAGTAGACTTAATTGTTCTTCCAGGGCCCAAACGGTAATACTTCACACTAGGTTAGGTTAGTGTTGTGACCATGACGCGCGAGCCGAGCGAGCAAAGCGAGCGTGCCGCGGCAGCGGCCGGCGAAGCGCCAGAAAAAAAAACTCTATTAAAAGAGACCTTTTCTACGAAAGAAATTCAAGTATCACCTCTTAGGCCCTGGAAGTATAGTTTTACAGTATATCTTTGTACACCATTGATTCTCATCCGCAGTTTGTACCTCAACCGCAGTTTCCAAAATGTCATATTTTGACAGCCAGTAATAGTCCATAGATTTCTTTTGCGTAGTTACCCTACTCTCCTTAATTTGTTTCGTCGAAAACCCTTTTGTTAACTTTCTTCCTCATTAAATAACGAATAATGCACTTTTTCACTGCGAGATGTTTCTCAACAATGTTGTTACATTGTCGGCAGCGGCCGCCATATAAATATATAAACAAAGCGCTTGCAGTGCCTGTACCGGTAATTAATGCCACTACTTTACGATATGATCAAATAATTTTGCCATTTCATGAAGTTGCCACGCGTTTAGTTGGCCATATCGTGAAACGATTTCTCATCATTGATCTGCCCAAACCACATCATGATGTGGCCAATAGATAGTGACACATTTCATGAAATGCGACCATTTCATGAAATTCTCGAGCATTTCATGAAGTGATCAAATCTACGATATGGCCACGACATATATAGCCCGAGCCATTTAGTAAGCCACATAAATGCATTATTATACACAATGTCGCGGTAATGAGTGTTTGCCAGAGAGCCCTTGTTAATCTCTTCAACCTCGTGTACAATACTGACTGGTAAACTGCCCGAAGATTGGCTGAAGCCGGCTTTCATAATGCAGTGCAATGCGATGCGCGCTTGGAAACGGTCGTGCGCCACTGTGCAGTGAGAATTATTATTCACGTCTCACACGGCAACAGCCGTTGTGTGATAGCCAATAGTTTCGAACAACTCATAGTAAACGAGTTGTTAGCGTTTATTGAAAATGCCAACGACACAATGGACGAAGTCAGCATTCTGCAGATCTGCAAGTCGAACTTCAAGGAGGATGAGATTTGCAGTGGCAAGGTACTGTTATTCCGGTATGTCGGGAAGGCCGACAAGATGCCATCACGACGGAGGGATGGTACTGAGAAGACTGTGCAGGATATCATCACCCTGCTGAAGGAAACCGATCCAGACGACGAGCCTACATTCGTGGCGAAGGAGCTGCACAAGCTGCCCCCCGTCACGTTCGACCACGTCGACGTCACCAGGCTGTTGAAGGATATTAACTTCCTGAAAGCGAGCTTGGCCGATGTAGTAAACAAGTTAGAGTACTCAAACAACACCATCGGTGAGTTGCGGGCTCAGGTAGCGTTATTCAGTAACGCTGTCAGTGCAAGTAGGTCAGCCGAGGCCTCTAACGTGAACACACGTCGTGGGGCGCAAAATGCATCCGTCGGCAGTATAGAGTCGATGCCTACTAGTGCCGCCGTTACCGCGCGCGATTTCCCGCGCCCGACCGTCGCCGCCTGCCCCTCTGCCTCGCCGGAAAAGTCACGTGCATGCACGTCTACACAGCAACGTGCTTACGCAGCTGCTGCCGCCAGCCAGCCTGTCGATGTTCAAGCAAAAGAGAAGAGTAGCAATCCCTGTGTCCAACGTGTTACTCCGGCTGCATCACAAAATCAGATTTGCGACGAAGAGGGCTTCATCAAGGTGGAAAGGAAGAAGAAGAAGCCCGCTCGCCGCAATTTGTGTGGTGTTGCCCCGACTGGACCGAACAACCTGCTGCGTCCTGCAATACCGACGACGCCGCTATACGTGTCCCGACTGCATTACTCTACGAAGGAAGAGGAGATCGTGGAGTACCTGCGGATAAAGACCAAGTTCTCCCTGAGAGTCGTACGGTTGGAGTCCCGTCACAATGTGAATTTTAATTCATTTGTGGTGAGGGTGCCGACTGAACATCTGGCGACTTTCATGAAGGAGGATCTTTGGCCGAAAGGTGTAGTGTTCTGGTGCTTCCGAGGTCGGTTACCTGACACCACTTCGCGTCACACGTCGCCATCTATACGTGTTAGTAAAGTGTTTTTATATCTGTATGTATGTTAGACTATAAGATATTTATCTATTGGCCTATATAGCCTGATTATAAATAAATAAATAAAAATAAAAATAAAAAAAATGCTGCCAAATAATTAGAATGCAAAAGAGTGTATAGAATTTAGAACGAGTTTTATACATCATACATGCGTTCAGTACCCCTAGCACGAACCAATATCGAATCGTATCGTTTGCGAGTCCGAAATGTCATTGTCATCATCATCATCATCATCATTTCAGCCGAAAGACGTCCACTGTTGGACATAGGCCTCACCCATGGATTTCCACAACGATCGGTCCCATGCTGCCCGCATCCAGCGGCTTCCCGCGACCTTTACCAGATCGTCGGTCCACCTTGTGGGGGGCCTGCCAACACTGCGTTTCCCGGTACGCGGTCACCACTCGAGGACCTTTCCGCCCCAACGGCCATCGGTCCTGCGAGCAATGTGCCCTGCCCATTGCCACTTAAGGTTTGCAATTCTGTGGGCTATGTCGGTGACTTTAGTTCTCTTGCGTATCTCCTCATTTCTGATTCGATCACGCAGAGAAACTCCGAGCATAGCCCTCTCCATTGCCCTTTGGGTGACTTTGAGCCTTCTTACAAGACCCATTGTAAGCGGCCACGTCTCGGTTCCGTATGTCATCACTGGCAACACGCACGAATTGAAGACTTTCGTCTTGAGGCACTGCGGTAGATGTTCCGAGAAGATGCTACGTAGCTTCCCGAACGCTGCCCAGCCGAGTTGGATTCGTCGATTAACCTCTTTCTGGAAGTTGGACTTACCCAGTTGGACTATTTGTCCCAGGTATACGTACTGGTCAACAACTTCCAGTGTAGAGCTCCCAACAGTCACTGGAGTGGGTACGACATGGGAATTCGACATGATTTTCGTCTTGTCCATGTTCATTTTGAGACCCACTTGTTGGGACACCCTACTGAGGTCGCCGAGCATTGTGCCAAGGTCATCCATGGTCTCAGCCATGACTACGATATCATCTGCAAATCGAAGGTGCGTCATGTACTCGCCGTTTATGTTGATGCCAAGTCCGCTCCAGTCCAAAAGTTTGAAAACGTCTTCCAGCGCAGCTGTAAACAGTTTCGGTGATATAACGTCACCCTGTCTTACACCACGCTGCAGCTGGATTGGCTTCGTGTTTTGGTCCTGGAGTCGAACTGACATAGTGGCGTTTTCATACAACGACTGCAACACTTCGATGTATCGATAGTCTATTTGGCACCTTTGGAGTGACCGAAGCACGGCCCATGTCTCGATCGAATCGAAGGCTTTCTCGTAGTCCACAAACGCCAAGCATAATGGCAGGTTATACTCTTCGGTCTTCTGTATAACCTGCCGCAGCGTATGGATGTGGTCTACGGTACTAAACCCTTTTCGGAATCCGGCTTGTTCGGGAGGCTGGAAGTCGTCAAACCTGCGCGCGAGACGATTCGTGAGGACTCTCGAAAACAGCTTGTATACATGACTCAGGAGCGTGATGGGTCTGTAATTCTTCAATTGGGCCCTGTCGCCCTTCTTGAAGAAAAGCGCCACCACTCCCCTATGCCATGCGCTAGGCGTTTTGCCCTCGAGTATGACAGAGTTAAATAGCTTCTGAAGAGATTTCAAGACTGGTCGTCCACCTGCTTTCAGAAGCTCGGCTGTAGCTCCGTCATCACCCGGCGCCTTTTTGTTTTTGAGCTGTTTCAGAGCTACACTAATCTCGTACAGGCTGACGTCCGGGATATCTTCGGTGTAGTGTCGGGTTAATTTGGCTCTTGGGTCGGTCGCCTTTGTGATAGGTACTCGTGATGTCGCGTATAGCTGTCCGTAGAAGCTTTCGATCTCAGCCATAAGCTCAGGTTGCGACGAAATGATTCTGCCGTCCTCTGTCTTCAGCTTCGTCAGCAAACTCTGTCCAAGAGACAGATTTCTTGCGAACACTTTCGAGCCTTTGTTCCGCTCGATGGCCTCTTTAATACGATCAGTATTAAAGCAGCGTATGTCGCGAGTCAGAGACTTCGAAATCTGCCTATTGAGCTGCCGACGTGCATCTTCAGAGGACTGCAGACCCATCTCACGCCTTTTCTCCATAAGCTTGAGAGTCGGCTCCGAGATCTTGCTACGTTTTTTGGTACGGATGGGCTTGCAGAACTTCGAGCCCACCGTAAGGACAGCTTCAACAAACCTGTCATTATAATTGTCCACGTCTACGCAGCTCTCTAGGCAATCGAAGCGATTTTGCAGTTCGAGTTGAAAGCGCTCGGGGTTTTGGATCTGGATGGCTTCAGGACGGGGCGTGGACTTCATCAGTCGATTCCTTTCGGCTTTGACATTTAGATTCAATGTGCCTCTTACCATTCGGTGATCGCTTCCCGTATTGAACGAATTGATCACTGAGACATCATTGAATATCCGAGTCTTAGTCGACATGATGAAGTCAATCTCATTTTTTGTCACGCCATCCGGACTTTTCCAGGTCCATTTTCGATGCAGCCGTTTTCTGAAGAAGGAGTTCATCATAAAGAGTCCCTCCTTCTCCATGTAGTCGGCTAGCATTTGACCTCGGAAGTTCCGGATTCCAACTCCAAATTACCCCACTTTCAACTCATCATCGCCACGTTTGCCCAGCCTTGCGTTGAAGTCCCCCATGACAACGGTGTAATGGGTCCTGGAAGCATGCATTGCCCGAGAAATATCCTCATACATGACTTCCACTTCCTCGTCGGGGTGCGTCGAGGTCGGAGCGTATACCTGTATGACCTTCAACGAATACCGTTTGGTGATTCTGAGTATAAGGTACGCCACCCTATTCGACACACTACCAATCTGTACAACATTGTTCACGAGAGACTTGTGGACAACAAACCCGACACCACCCTGGGACAGATCTTCGCCCTCCCGGAAATAGAGCAGGTTGCCGGATTTAAGGACCATCGTGTCCTCGCCCTCTCTTCGGACTTCAGATAGTCCTACAATACTCCAGCGAATCCTGCTCAATTCTTCCTCCAGTTCCAGCAGCTTCTCCTCGGTCCGCAGTGTGCGTGCGTTGTACGTTGCCAGGGCCAAGGTCGTTTGACGGGGGATTTTTGCCGCCCGGGGATTCTTCGCACCCCTGGTCCCGGCTCCGAGTCGGCGTCCGTCAGCGCCGCCATGGACTCCAGCACCGCCGGGCACTTGGGGCCTCTTATTATGTACCATCATTTTGGGGGGGTTTTGGGCCGTCTCCCACCACGCTGGCCCAGTGCGGGTTGGTGGGGAGCGCCAGAGCCTCGTCCGTTGGTCGGCAGGGTACACCGCGGGCAGGTGAGGTTGGCTTGGGTGCCGTTGGGTGTTAGGCGGCACCCCTTATACCCCTCATCATTCGTCATTGTCAAATGTACTAATTTTTAGTTCTCGTTACGTACTTTGTGCCGCTGCTGTTCGTTTCCATACAAAATTTGACATTGACATTTCGGTTTGCAAACTATTCGAATTCGATTATGGTTCGTACTAGGGGTACAGCACTGGAGTCAAATGTGGCGAGCAATTTGGAGACGGCCAATTTGGTTTCAATCTGGAGAGGACAAGAGGCCCTGTTCGCGGTTTAGGTACTGCTACAAAAATGCAAAGGTAGGCAAAAGGGAGTAGTTATTTGTTTTGTCGACTACGAGGGTGCGTTTCATCGAGTGCTGCACGACCGATTAATACTTTTCTTGAACGACGTCGGGTTGGATGACAAACACATCAGATTTATTAGGAACCTCTACTGGAGTCAAAGGGCTACTGTTTGCGTCAATAGGGGAAGAAACCAGTGAGGTGGAAATGAAGAGAGTCCGGCAGGGCTTCACACTGTCACCAATATTCCTGTTATTGGAAGTCAATATTGCAGAAGCTTTGCAGGGGCTACCAGCACGTGCAAGTAAACGAACGATATATCAACAACCTCCGATATGCTGACGACACAGTAGTCATAACTTCTAGCGCGGTTGAATTGCAGCAGATTGTCGACCGAGCCTGAGTGCTGACCTTAACATGCAAAACCAAACTCATGGTAATCTCGAAGAACTCAGCTTCCGACCTTGGTACTACTGTGATAGGCGCACAATTGGAACGGGTGCGCAAGTACAAGTATCTTGGCACACGACTTAACGATGTTTGGGAGAGTGATGCCGAGATTAAAACTATCATAGAAATAGCACGTAGTGCATTTAATGAGAACAGTACTATGCATTCGCTGATTAAAATTGTATCTTCGTGTGCGCCTACTGCAGTGTTATATTATACGGCCCATACTTCTATACGGATGCGAGGTTTGGACGATCAAGGATCACCCCAAGAACTGTAGGGAGCCTTCGAAATGTGGGCCAATAGGCATATGTTGGCTATTAGCTGGACTCACAGTAACTAATGAAGAAGTTCTCCGTCGAGCTGGTCAGACACGCCAAATCTTGCAGACCGTTAAACAGAGTAAGATTGGGTATGTGAGTCACATAATGCAAAATAAAAGATGCCAGCTGCAACTTACAATAATGAGAAAAGTGGCTGGTAGATGACTAGTAGGCAGAAGAAAAAAGTCGTGACTGTGAAAGTGGACTTTGGATTTGAAAGTGGACCGGCATCAACAGTAATGGAATGTGAAATGTGGGTCCTGACGAATGTCGAATTCGGCTGAATGTTCAGTTTAAATATGTTCCTTAGCCAAAGTGCTGCCAGCATTCGGCAGATCTAAAACAAATTCGGCCGAAGACGAAGTTCGCTAAAAGATATTGAATTTCGGTAATACCAAATGTGAAACGAATTTTGGTACATCACTAGTAATTAGCATTGCCTTTGAATATTTTTGTCATATTATAATACTTTTAAACATATTCTGTTGATGGTCAAAATTAATAAATTATTATAAAGCAAAATCCCCTGCGTCTATTATGTTGTATGTTCATGATAATCTCCATTCTTCAGATTTTCATACGGCTTAACCATCATTTAATAAAAGTGAAATGAAACAATAAAAATAGTAATATTTTTAATGAA